TGAATTTTCTCCATTTGAAAGTGAAAATTGATATGAGTTACATATGAGCTCCCATTGGCCCTTCTTACATGAGAACATGTGATTTAGGGATTTGTAGTTCGGTGGACAGCTGGTTCTCAGTAGGTTCTTAGTATGAAATTGGCAGTTCTTGGACATTGGCAGTAAAAATGACTAAAGTTAAATAGATTGCCTCCAAGACAGTGGCAAAAAGCAAACAATTCTCACCCTTTCACCTCTTGCCCTTTGCCAGTTTAGGGTTAAAGGTTTTACAATTATTTTTTAATATGACTTATTACATTTGTGTTTTAAATATATTTTAATTGCTTGTGTAGTTTGATAAAATGACTTCTGTAAATGTTGTGACTCTGTTTGAGCTCTCAAATGTGGATGCTGATAACTAGGGCTTTTTACATGGAGCTCTAGGCCGTTCTTCTGCACTCCTGCACTCTTCCCACATCAGGGTCTCCACTGTGCTGTTGCAAGGCCACATTGTGCACAGGGCCTGCCGTAGACGTCCCCACTCCCCTGGCAGAAGTTACTCCTTTGTGTGCCCACTTGTCACTCCTTCCATTAGAATAGTTAGTGAAGAGCCTGTTAGGCTAACTGATGAAGGTCTAGGTGACAGAACTGTCACTTGTCTTTGACTCTTCCCTGCTATCACCTCCCCACCTCCATTTCTGCCTAATACTTGATGCTTTCTGGTTCTGGTTCCTAAATAATTCTTGGGTCTACTTCTGTCTCCCTGTGACACTCCTTTTGTGACATCCACCCTGAGGTCTCTGTTGAGTTTCCTCTACCTGGCACCCCTGTTCTGCATTTCCCACAGAGCCATCCAGACACCACCCCCCTTCCACACACCCCCACCTGTCAGCCCAGGAGATAGCAAAGCTCCTTAGGAGTGGCTGTGAGGGCTGAAAGCCCCATTGCCTAGGAACCAGTGTCCCCTGAAGGAGAGTTTGGGCCACAGTGTCTCCATCAGGACGTATAGTGACTGTTGTTTTTCCCTTCTAGATGCTGTTTACCAGGCAGGGAATGGTTTACCTTGAGCAGGCTACACTCCACAGGAACACTCCTTTCTTATTTGCTGTCACCGTCCCTAGTCCAGATCACTAACTAGTCTTCTAACTAGTCTCCCCATCTCAGATCTGACTGCTCATGTCCAGCCTCTTCTCTATGAAATTAGGCCTGGTCTTTGTAGCATCGAATCTCAGTGAGTCACCTCAGTGAGCCTTTGTAGACCCTTAGTTTCTCTTTGCATCCCCTTCCTGCTCCAACCCCTGGATGGGCTTGCTGCCCTGACTCCCCACCTTCTCTCTCCCTCCTGGTTCTCTTCCTAGAACTCTCCCCTCACTCCACTCCTCATCCTGCAGGTACCTCTCAGTGTTGCAGACTGCCTGCCTTACTCTCGGAGCATCTTTTGTAGCATTTAACATTCATGTGGAATAGATAATTTTGTGTAAGCATTTATGTTTAACTTTGCCGCTAGATTGTGTGTTCTCTCCTGGACAAATCCACCCGTGTTAAATCTGGCATTTCCTCTGTCCCTCCTGCATTGTCAATGAGCACCCTGTGACCAGCCCCACCACCAGGCAACTCTGGGCTGTGACACTCCTCCAGGCCACGTTTCTGCCACATTCCTGGGTGACTTCCTCACTTTCCCTTCTGCAGATTTTCACCTGCCTCATTTTCTTGTGTCGTTCCCAGCAGCACACAGACAGGGCGTAGTAGCTGTCTTGTAACCCACCTGAGCCTTCTATCCCACCAGGAGCCGTGGGGTGTTGGTTTTCCTATGCAGACCTCAGACTTGTCCTTGCACTCCTTTTCCTCTCCCTCACACTTCTCTAGGATAGGCTGTGTCCCTGCTGGGCTTCTCTCGTCAGCATCCCATCCATGTTGCCCACCCAGCAGACACTTGCAGTCACTCCTCAGGCTCCTCCTAAATCACTATCACAGTGTGACCCTCTCTCCATCTCACATCTTGTGTGTTTCATTTTTTTCTTCCTCTTGAGTCTCATTGGCTGGGTCACCTGCTCTTACCAATGACTCCTGGGTCTCTGACACTTTTCCCTCTCACCCGCGTGTGGGTCACCTCCCAGCCCTCTGACCTGTGTGTGGATCCCCTCCTTGCCCTCTCACTTGATTGTAGGTTATTGCTACCCTCTCTCCTGTTTTCCTCCCACACTACTCTCTAGTTTAGTGATGGCGAACCTTTTGAGCTCGGCGTGCCAGCATTTTGAAAAACCCTAACTTAACTCTGGTGCCGTGTCACATATAGAAATTTTTTGATATTTGCAACCATAGTAAAAGAAGACTTCTATTTTTGATATTTATTTTATATATTTAAATGCCATTTACCAAAGAAAAATGAACCAAAAAAATGAGTTTGCGTGTCATAGGTTCGCCATCACTGCTCTAGTTAGACCTGTGATTTTAAGGAGCATGCCTTGCTGCTGACCCCCAGGTTTGCATACTGTCCTCGACTCTTTAACTCCAGATTTCTATGACATCTAACTACTTACTCAATTTCTACTTGGTGTCTTACAGACATTGCAAAACTAATGTGTATGAAATTGAGCTCTGCATGTTCCCACAACTGCTCCTTCTATTTTGTTCCCTGTTTCAGCCATTATCTTTCATCTTATTGTTTAGACTAAACACCAGTAAATCATCCATAATTTTTCTTACTGGCATCCTGAGGCCTAGGACTTTAGGCGTGTAGGCAGCCATCTTCCAATGTCCTCAAGTGGCCGTCTCTGTGTGTCTGTCCTCCTCTCCTCTTTTAGTGACACTAGTCATGCTAGATTAGGGCCTACCCAGATGACCCCATTTTAACCCTAATTACCTTTTTTATTTTTTTTTAAATCCTCACTACTTTAGAGAGGAGGGGGTGGGGGGAGAAAGAGAGAGAGAGAGAGAGAGAGAGAAACATCGATGTGAGAAAGAAACATTGGTTGCCTTCCTTCTGTACATGTCCTGACCAGGATAGAACCTGCAACCCAGATATGTGCCCTGACCAGGAATCGAACCGGCAACCTTTGGGTGCGTAGGATGATGTGTAACCAACTGAGCCACTCGGCCAGGCCCTAATTACCTCTCTAAAGACCCCATTTTGCCCAGCTGGTGTGTCTCAGCGGTTGAGCGGCGACCCAGGAACCAGGATGTCCAGGGTTTAATTCCTGGTTAAGGCACATACCTGGGTTGCAGGTTTGATCCCCAGTAGGGGTTGTGCAGGACGTAGCCATCGGTGATTCTCTGTCATCGGTGTTTCTATCTCTCTATCCCTCTCACTTCCTCTCACTTTAAAGATCAATAAAAACTTTTTTTTTTTTTAAAGACCCCATTTTCACGTACTGTCTCATTCTGAAGTACTGGGGGTTGAGGATTCAGCATGAATTTTGGGAGACACAGTTCAACCATCTGGAATGTTCACACAGAACATTGGTTCTTTAAAGCATGAGCCAGACTATCTCTCTTCCTTACTCAAAACCATCTAGTGATTTTCCAGCACACACACAATAAAATCCAAAGTCCTTTCTGTTTCTCCAAGTTTTACCTGATTTACACTGGTAACATCTCTGTAATCTCTTACCCTGCAGCTCATCTGCTCCCTTCTTGTCTTTTGCATCTTCTGTTCCCTTGGTGGGGAACACTGTTCCCCTAAATATGCTCTTGTTTCGTCACATCCCAAGTTAAATATTACTTTAGCAGAGATTCTTTCCCTGATCATTTTGAATAAAAGAGTAGCCCTTATGACTGTCCATCCCCTCATCTTGCTTTATTTTCCTTCTTAGCACTTATTGTTGCCTGAATCTGTGTATGTGCATGTGACACATATCCCTTTACTAGGACTGTGTGTGTATTACAAATATCACTATACTATGTGTGTGTACATGTCACACTTATCCCTGTGTGTACACATGGTGTGTATTCCCACACTAGTGTGTGTATATACATAACACATATGTCCATACTAGTGTGTGCGTGCGTGCATGCATGCACCCTCACATGTGTGGCTTGTCTTTGCTAGCATGTTAGCTCCCTGAGGCGAGGACTTTGCCATTCTCTGGCTTCATTGCAGTAGGGGGTGTGCACCTTGCTGTTCATTGTTCCTTATACATGTTAGCAGAGTTTGTCTCCTTCTCTGCTCTGTGCCCAGTCTTTGGTATAGCACTGTGTAAGCACCTGATAAATATTTGTTAAATGGATAGATAAACATATTTTCTTTTTTTAAAAATATATGTTTTATTGATTTTTTACAGAGAGGAAGGGAGAGGGAGAGGAATAGAGAGTTAGAAACATCGATGAGAGAGAAACTTCTATTTGGCTACCTCTTGCGCAATCCCTACTGGGGTTGTGCCCGCAACCAAGGTACATGCCCTTGACCGGAATCGAACCTGGGACCCTTGAGTCGGCAGGCCGACGCTCTATCCACTGAGTCAAACCGGTTAGGGCTAAACATTTTCTTAAAGAGCTGAAGCCTATGGTGACTATTATGTTTTTATTTTATCTTTAGCTTTTGATAAAAGACTTGGTTGGTTTATATGACAATAAAGTGAACTTTCATATCTATTGTTATAGCAATAGAATTCTAAGTATATCTTAGGCAGACACTTGAGAATTGTAATATTTCTTTTTTATTATGATGAATTATTGACTTTCAGTTGTATTTGTTTAGTTTTATTAAATATCTAATACATGAAAAAAACTTAAAATGTTGAGAATCACTTTATTTGCCATTTTGTTGATTAGTGGAAGTGGACATGATGTTACAGTACCCCTGACTTTTTTCTTTCCTTATATTTGGCCCTGGTTTTAGCCAAGCACATAATCATAAAGGTGATAAACATTTATTGAGCACCAATTACGTACCATGTACTGTGCCAGTATTGCGATAATGATGATCAAGTCCTAGAAAGACAAGTGACACAGTCTGATTGTGTAGCCGTGCCAGGAAAGACCCACAATTCTCAGGAGTTCTCTGCTCTCACCTCTATCTGCAGATATGTGGCGAGGATGAAGTTGAGTGCTCTGACAAGGATGAGCCTGATGTGGACGGAGACGTGTCCAGTGACTGTCCTACCATCCGGGTGCCATTGACTTCCCTTAAGAGTCACCAGGGAGTAGTCATAGCTGCTGACTGGCTGGTTGGGGGGAAGCAGGTGGTGACGGCCTCCTGGGACCGAACAGCAAACCTGTATGACGTGGAGACGGCGGAGCTCGTGCACTCCCTGACAGGTACTCCGGCCCTGGCCTGCCAGCCGCGTGTGTGTGATCTGTGTGCCTGTGTTTATTCATATCTTACCTGGCAAATTCCTCTCTGTCCAGAATTAGTTTTAGTTCTCGGGATGCTCAGGTTGTGATTTTTCAGAAATCCTTTCTAGTAGAACTGTTGGTAGCTAATTGTGTCTTTAGGGGATTTAATTGTAGCGTGTAGTATCTAGAAATTTGAAATATGCTGGTGTATTTGTTTTCCGTTGCTTTATAACAGATTTCCACAAAGGTGGTGTGTTAAAATAACATGAATTTATAACCTTATAGTTTCCCTGGCCAGGAATTTTGGGCTGGGGACTGCTTTTAGCATCTAGCATGGTCCCCATCGAGAGGTACTAGTATATTAACCATGGCCGTTTGATTTCTTCCAGACCAGCACCAGCAAGAGAGCATCTCTGCTGGACACTTTTATTCTTATTATTTTTAATCCTCACCTGAGGATATGTTTTGTTTTTTGTTTTTTGTTTTTTTTTTTTACTAGTTTTAGAGAGAGGAAGGGAAAGAGAGAAACACAGATGTGAGAAACATCATTTGGTTGCCTCCCATACACTCCCAGACCGGGGATCAAATCTGCAACCCTGACCAGGAATTGAACCTACAACTTTTTGGTCTATGGGACAATGGTCCAGCCAACTGAGCCACACCAGCCAGGGCTGCCTTGGACCCTTTAAAGGGTGCATTTGATCAGGTCAGGCCCACCAGGACATCTTTTGAATTCGATGAACTCAAAACTACATCGTTTGGAGGCCTTAGTTATGGCTGTAAAGTCTATTTTGCCTTATAACGTACTGAGATTACCAGAATGGTAGCTCATCACATTTGCAGATTCTGCCCAAACTCAAGGGAAGGTATCAGACAGGATGTGTATACCAGGCCATCTTAGAATTCTGCCCATCACAAGTATTTTTCAAATTTGTCAGTAGGTGCATTTTCTGATTGATTGTGAAAGACTGTATTTCACAGAAGGCTCCACAAATATTATTAGCAGTCATTTGGGAAGTGAAGAACTAACAGTTAATTAGTTTGCACGCTGAGCCTTTAACAGAGATTTGCCAGACCTTTTAACTGTTTGGATCAGGAACTGGGTTACACTCACTCAGTGTCATGATCCTTTTAAATGTACAAGTGAAAGGACTTCCAGCTCCTGAGGGAAAACTGGTCCCACTGTGACCACACATGCTGTCATTAAATGATTCCTTGTGTTTACTTTTACGGTGAATAAATACTAGCACTAGAGACCATAAAGACTGTTTTTTTGATTCCAGTGTTTTTTATGAAAGCTTTACTCTAACTGTATCTGCAGATGGGTGACCTTGCACTTTTGTCGTCTTTGGTTGTATTGTAGGGCATGACCAAGAACTCACGCACTGTTGTACACACCCCACCCAGCGGCTCGTGGTAACCTCCTCCCGTGACACGACCTTCCGTCTGTGGGATTTTAGGGACCCGTCCATCCACTCTGTGAATGTTTTCCAGGGCCATACAGAGTGAGTCACAGTCATTCATATGTCTCTTTTTAATTGTTCATGAAAAAGGCTTTATGGGTGGATATGAAAACTTCATATTTGTCTTAATTTTCAATATTAATTTCCAACTCCACTGTCTTTCAAAATGACTACTGTTTTCCTAAATGTTTAACTCCATTTTGAAGATTTCAAAGAAGTTAGGAGAATAAGAGAAGTCACCAAAGTTCTCTCAAGAAATTGGATGGAGACAGAATGGGACATTGGGAGAGGGGATCAGAGAGGAAGCAGGAAGTACTCCAGCATTGGCGGTATGAGGTGATCACACTGGAACTGTTAACAGCCGCTCCCAAATCCCTGCCCTTGGGTTGTTTTCATCTAGTTTTGATATTCCATATATTTGCATGGTCTGTTTTGTTCCAGGAGAAGACACACTGACTCTCACCTTTCTCGGTCTGGTTGTCTCTTGGGCAGCTCAGGCGTACCCATATCTTAACAGAACTTTGTTCTTTCCACAAACTTGTTCTTCTCCTAGTCTGACTTTTCCCGATACAGAAAGTGACTATCTTTCTAGTTATTCATCCCACAAACCTCTCCACTCCCTCAGCTGTGCCCCATCCAGACCAGGAGTAGGACTCCTGTCCAGTTACACCTCCTGATGTGTCTTTCACCTGCTCCTCAGGCCACCATTGTCCCCACCAAACCATCCCTATCTCTCTCCTAGATGGCAGTGTTGTTCTGCTTGAGCCCTTGCACATCCAGAAAAGGTCCTACACACATTAGTGCTCAGTAAACACTTTTTCATGTATGAATTTTTGCTCATTTGGTTTCTCCAAAATATGGATTTTATTAATTTTATCATGTGATGTAGCAAACGAGTCTGTTTTATGTGTTGAATGTTAGATACCAAGTTTTAGATTTAATGTTCAAAAGTCATAAAGTATACAAAAGGGAACGCTAGGACAGAATTTTTTAAGGAGTTTGAGATTGGAAAACAATTTGGCATCTTGCACCTAAGGTGTGCAAAAATGTTAGGAGTAAGCAGCAGCGAGCACATACTGAAATCTTAGTGTACCACCGGCTCTGTTCTGAGAGCTTCCAAATGAGAAATTATTTCATTCTGACAAGGGAGGCATTTCTTCACCAGCCAGGGTAGCCATAGCCCCGAAATAGAAAATGCCGGATTCTCAGGGGTTCATACAGTGCTGGGGACTGAGCAGGGCCTACATGCTTTCCCTGTGTCCCGATGGTCCAGTCTTGGTTGCTCTGGAGGTCATGGAGGGGACAACTTCTAACTAGCCCAGCACAGCCCAGATGAGAACACTGAACTGAAAAGAGTGGAGCTAAGCAGCTCTTCTTCATCTGCTTTTAGGGTGGGGCCACTGTGGGCCCAGAGAGCAGAAGTAACTGTCTGTGGTTTTCTTATAGACCATATGCAAGGCAAATGGGACCCCCCATACATCCTTACCCTGCAGCTTGCACATCTCTTCTCCCAAGTTTTTTTTTTTTTTAAATATATTTTATTGATTTTTTACAGCGAGGAAGGATAGACAGAAACATTGATAAGAGAGAAACATCGATTCAGCTGCCTCCTGCACACTCCCTACTGGGGATGTGCTTGCAACCAAGGTACATGCCCTTGACCGGAATCGAACTTGGGACCCTTCAGTCTGCAGGCCAATGCTCTATTCACTGAGCCAAACTGGTTAGGGCTTCTCCCAAGTTTTTTTTTTTTTTTAAATATATTTTTATTAATTTCAGAGAGGAAGGGAGAAGAAGGGACAGATAGAAACATCAGTGATGAGAGGGAATCATTGATTGGCTGCCTCCTGCACGACCCTTACTGGGGACGGAACCCGCAACCCGGGCATGTGCCCTTGACTGGAATCGAACCCGGGATCCTTGAGTCTGCAGGCTGACGCTCTATACACTGAGCTAAACTGGCTAGGGCTCTCCCAAGTTTTTGTTTTTGTTTGTTTTTTTTAAATATATTTTTATTGATTAAGATATTACATATGTGTCCTTGTCCCCACGTTACCCTCTACCCCCCCCCCCGCCCCCCGCTCATGCCCTCACCCCCCCCCCCCCCCCCCCCCCGTTGTCCATGTCCATTGGTTAGGCCTATATGCCTGCATGTAAGTCCTTTGGTTGATCTTTCCCCCTTACCCCCACCCTCCCCTCCCCTCCCTCCAAAGCCCGACAGTCCAATCAATGCCTCTCCGTCTCTGGATCAGTCCTTGTTCATCAGTTTATTTTGTTCATTATATTCCACAAATGAGTGAGATCATGTGGTATTTATCTGCTCTCCAGTTCCATCCATGCTGTGGCAAATGGTAAGAGTTCCTTTTTCTTCTTCCTCTTCTTAAAGAATACCTTTCAGCATTTCATATAATGCTGGTTTGGTGGTGATGAACTCCTTTAGCTTTTTCTTATCCGTGAAGCTCTTTCTCTGACCTTCTATTCTGAATGATAGCTTTGCTGGATAAAGTAATCTTGGTTGCAGGTTCATGCTATTCATCACTTTGAATATTTCTTGCCACTCCCTTCTGGCCTGCATGGTTTCTGTTGAGAAATCAGCTGACAGTCGTATGGGTACTCCCTTGTAGGTAACTGACTGTCTTTCTCTTGCTGCTTTTAAGATTCTCTCTTTGTCTTTTGCTCTTGGCATTTTAATTATGATGTGTCTTGGTGTGGTCCTCTTTGGATTCCTTTTGTTTGGGGTTCTTTGCGCTTCCTGGACTTGGAAGTCTATTTCTTTCACCAGGAAGGGGAAGTTTTCTGTCATTATTTCTTCAAATAGGTTTTCAATATCTTGCCCTCTCTCTTCTTCTGGTACCCCTATAATTCTGATGTTGGTACGCTTGAAGTTGTCCCAGAGGCTCCTTACACTATCTTCATATTTTTGGAATCTCTTTTCTTTTTTCTTTTTCAGTTGGGTATTTTTTGTTTCTTTGTATTTCAAATCTTTGACTTGATTTTTGGGATCCTCTTGTCTGCTGTTGGATCTCCGTATATTATTCTTTATTTCAGTCAGTGTATGCTTAATTTCTAGTTGGTCCTTTTTCATGTCCTCCATGGTCTCACTATACTTATTGAGGGACTCATTAAATTTATCGGCGGTTTCCATAAAATTCTTGAAAAACCTTATAAACGTGGCCTTGAACTCTATATCCAGTCGTTTGCTTTCCTCCATTTCTGCCATTTGTGACCTGTTTCTTTGTCTCCGCATTTTGGCTGCTTCCCTGTGTTGATAGAGTGGCTTTGTGTGCTAGGTGTCCTGTAGGGCCCAGTGGCTCAGCCTCCCCAGTTACCTGAGGTGGACACTCTTGGTGCACCCCCTCGTGGGCTTTGTGCACAGTCTTGTTGTAGCTATGCCTTGGTTGTTGTAGGATCACTGGGAGGAATTGACCTCCAGGGCAATTGGCAGCGAGAATCAGCTGTGTCTACGGTGGGAGAACTTCTGTGCTGGAGACACCCTTCTGGGGCAAGACTTGCTTCAGTGGGGCTTTGGTCCTCACTGAGACTGCACCCTGAGTGTGTCCCTTATGGATCTGAGGAGTTGTGATCTGGATGGTTCCCCTCTGACCACTGGGTACAGTGGCTCTTGGATCTAAGGAGGTGCTAATTTAGCCTCTGCCTGAGGTTACACAGCAGGAACTACGAAGAGAACTGCAGATTCCCCTTCCTTTTTTTTGGAATTTGGAAGTGCCCTGATGATGCTCAGCTGTGTAGGAATGCAAGCCGCTGTGGGGCCTTGGGCCTTCTCTTGGAAGCTCTGGGTCTATCTGGCCCGGCTGCGGTTAGGTAATTACAGGTTGCAAATGGCCGGGGCATTCATATGCAAAAGCCTCTGCCGCAGCCTGAGCGGGGTGGGGTCTCAAGGAATCAAAGGGCGGAGAAAGCAGCTATGGCAGAGCCTCAGCCCTGCCCTAAGGAGTCGCGAGTCCCAGTGTCCCAGCAATGGCTGCAAGCACCTCTGAGGGAAAGCCGCTCTCAAGCTCGCCCGCTGCCAGACAGTCCAGTATCTCCCCGTATGAGTCCTGGGTCCCCAGAGACTTCCCGGAACCGGATTTCAGAGCCGTCGGGAGCTTGTGTCTCCCTCCGGATTCAAAAAGACAGCCGCGTCCTCAGGTGCCAGACCCTTTCCTCGCGCGAGCCCCTGTACCTCTGCACTCCACCTCCGCAGCTCCTCCCGCTCGCAGTGTGCTTTTCTCTCCTTCTAGTTGTAGAATTTACACTCAGCCAGCCCTCCTGTAGTTCTGGATGATGTCCACCTTGTGTTTTTGATGCATTTATCGATTGTTGTGGGAAGCAGCAATTTCCTGGTGTTTATCTATGCCGCCATCTTAGTTTCCTCTCCCAAGTTTTTATTGTGAAAAGTTTCAAGCTTAAGTAAAAGTTGAAAAAAATGAAGCAAACCCACTAATCCTTTTAGAAGCACAATTGTTTTTATTTCACCACATTTGTCTGTCTCTTTTTTAAAAAATGTTTTTATTGATTTCAGGGAGGGAGGGAGAGGGAGAGAGAGATAGAAACATAAATTATGACTGCACGCCTCCTACTGGGGATCAAGCCCACAACCTGGGCATGTGCCCTTCACTGGAATTGAATTTGGGACCCTTCAGTCCACAGGCTGTTGCTCTATCCACAGATCCATTTCAGCCAGGGCTGTCTGCCTTGTTATAGATATGTATACACATAGGTATTATAGGATATACAGCACACACCCACACTTCTGTCTCTAGATTCATGAACACATATCGAATGAATATATAGCACACACACACATATGCACTTCTCTCTATAGATACCTGTACAAATGTATCCTGTGAATACATAGCACATGTGCACTTCTGTCTCTTTGGATTGTGTATACGTATATGAATATATAGCACATACATCCACTTCTGTCTCTATACATGTACACATGCTATGCTATGAAAATACGTACTTTCTCTGACTGAGCCTTTGGAAAGGAAATGTCCATGTTATCACACTTTGCCCTGATACCTCAGATGCATCTT